ACCTCCTAAAAATGGTGTGTTGGCACGCTTCAGGGCGTTCACACGGTTGCCCCCCAACGGACACTTCCCTCAGTGGAAATGAACCCTTGTAGTGAGCCTATGAAGAGGGCGCTTGGAGGGTGTTTCTCAACATCGTTGACGAGTCTTGGGTTTGCACTGTGCCTCCTCCTCCTCCTCCTCCTGATCCTCCTCATCCTCCTCCTCCTCCCCCCTGGGCCCGCCGCCGAAAAAAAGATCTCACGGCGGCGGTGCGCGGGCGGCTTCTGCGCGTGCCTGCTCGCCCACGCGTCGGCTGCCGCGTACTCGATCTGGGCCTGGGTCAGGGGCACCTCTCGAGGAGCAGCGGTCCAGTCTTGGGTCGGGCCTGTCCCCCTGCAGGGGGAGTTTGAAGGAAAGAAAAGAAGTCCAACAAGTATTGCAGAAATGTTCGAAACAAGTGGGGAACAAGAAGCATCTCCAGACTATGGTTTCACTATTCTCGGATAGTCCTCCCTTTAGAAGGACAGGCCCGACCTAAATCCAGTCGGAACAAGGTCATCAGAGCGTGGATCAAGAGCATGGACCTCTTCGCCGAGAGCCCCTGGCTTATGGACATCTCCAAAACGAAGAGCGTTCCAAGGTGGAAAGCCCAACGGCGAAGAACAGAATGGTTACCCCTCCAAAACGGTGAGTGTTCTTAATCCTCGTGCCAGCTGCACGGAGGGGGGTCATCGAGTTGGAATCGTCGATACATCGCTGACAGATCGGCGAGGGGCCTCCGATTGCCAGTCCGCACGTTCCTGAGCGGGGTGGGCTATCAGGCCCCTATCGGCGATCCATGGGCGATTGGGGGACGATGCATCCCCCAAGAGCCTACCCCCCCTAACGTTGCCAATGACACCTGCTCCCAGTCCGTGAGCTGCTGCTCCTTGCTGAGCCGCTGGTGCATGAAGAGGGCGACCAGGCCCTGCAGCGAGCGAGGCGTGGTCCGGAGGCTCAGGGCCATTGTAGAGGGAAAGAAGACGCTGGCCATGACCAAGACTGAGCGCAGAAACGTCTGTGTCGATCTTGGTCATCGACCATCTCGGTCATCATCAGTTCGTGGACCATCCTCACGCATCGGCAACGGCCAGCATGGCCCATGGCCAAGATCGGCGTCGGCGAGACTCCGCGAGGTCTCGGTCACGGTAACCCCAGACGAGTCGTTTTTTGACAGTTCCAAGGCCACGGCCGGGGCCCCGAGAGGCCGAAAACTATTCAAAAATACCCCCGTTCCGATTTTTGTTCGAGACGCCCGCTGTCTGGGTCGTGTTTCTCCCCTCGAACCCAGACCCCCCACGTCATGAGTTGTTCATCACGTCGACCCCCGGTCTGGACCCATTCCCCGGGACCAATTTTTCGTCCCGGGTCGTTCTTTGACGGTCCCGAGGCCTCGCGAGGGCCCCCAGGGGCCGAAAGTAGAGAAACAAAAAACCCGATGTGATTTCCGCTCATTCAGCGGGCGAAGAACGGTATAAAAATTCGCTGGCCCAACGGGCCAAGGGCGTGCTAAGATCCCCAGTAATTGGTTCACAATGTTCTAGTTCGCGCGCGCGGGGCCGCCCCTGGGGGTCCCCGGACGAAAAGTACCCCAGGACACCCCGGGGACACCCCTAGGACACTCGGATCAGAGATGTCAGACCGGGCAATTTTTCGACACCCCTCACGAGGATCGTGGCCTCCGAGGGGAGGGGCGCAATCGACTACCCCCCCTCCTGACCCAAGAGGTCCCCAAGACTGCCGAAGAGGCCCCCGAGACGCCCAAGAGCGCTCCAAGACGCCGATGATGACCCCTAGACGGCCCAAGAGGCCTCCAAGTGGCCTCCAAGAGGCCTCACAAGAGGGCCCGAGAGGCCAAAATCATAAATTCTACATGTTTTTGGAAGGATTTTGGTCTTGTCGCCTTTTCGGCCATCCGATGCTCCAAGACGGCCCAAGAGATCCCCAAGAGCGCCCCAAGACGGTCCAAGAGACTTCCAAGAGGGCCCCAAGAGGGCCCAAGAGGGCCCCGAGACGGCCCAAGAGGCGCCCAAGACGGCCCAAGACGGCTCCAACACGGCCCCAAGAGGGGCCTAAGAGGGGGACCACGAACCGAAAACTCGAGCCTTCCGCCCCAAGAGGGCCCCAGGAGGCCCCGAGAGGCCCCCAAGAGGCCCCCAAGAGGCCCCAAGATGCCGCCAAGAGGCCCCCAAGAGGCCCCAGGAGGCCCCCAGGAGGCCCAAAAGAGGCCCCAGAAGTTCAAGAATGCCTACGGCTTCTCAAAAGACCCCAAGGGGCCTCCCAAAGAAGCATCTTGACGACGACCCTGTTTGGCCGTTTGGCCCCAAGAGCAACACAAGATGCCAACGAGAGGCTTCCTCCTCCGCCCCGTCCCCGTCCTCCGCCGCCCCTCCCTTCCTCCTCCCCTCCTCTCCTCTCCTCCACTCCTCTCCTCTCCCCCCTCCTCCTCTCTCTCTACTTCCTTCATCCTTCTCTCTTTCTCATCCTCTCTCCTCTCCCCTCCCCTTCCCATCCTCATCTTCCTTCCTCCTCGGCGGCGCCACAATGGCCCTGGGCCCACGGCGAGAAGCAGCAGAGATCATGCAACATGGGCCGGCGGAGTGAGCGAAGCGATTGATTTATTCACTTTTGCGTGGGGATCCCATATGTGCATTATCCTTTGCTGGCGCTCCCTTGGTGGTGGGACTCGGTGAGGACGAATCTGGATTTTAGTGTGACTGAGCTGCCTCTCTCTCTGCTCTCTCTGCTCTCTCTCTCTCTCTCTCTCTGCCCTCTCTCTGTCTCTGCCTCTCTTTCCCTGCCTCTCTCTCTCTTTCTGCCTCTCTCTCTGCCTCTGTCTCTCTGCCTCTCTCTCTCTCTCTCTCTGCCTCTCTCTCTGTGCCTCTCTCTCTCTCTGCCTCTCTTCTCTGAGTTATATATTGCCCTCTCTCTCTCTCTCTTCCCCCCCCCCCTCCTCTCTCCACTTTTCTCTCTCTCTCTCTCTCTCTCTCTCTCTTCTCCTCTCTCCTCTCTCTCTCTCTCTCTCTCTCTATCTCTCTCTCATCTCTCTCTCACTTCTATTTATATCTTCTCTCTCTCTCTCTTCCTCTCTTCTCTCTTCTCTCTCTCTCTCTCTCTCCCTCTCTCTTATCTCTCTCTTTTTTCTTCTTCTTCCTCTTTCTCTCGCTGTCTCCTCCTCCCAACTCCCCTCTCTCTCTCTTTCTCTTCTCTCTCCCTCTCTCGCTCTCTCTCACTCTCTCTCGCTCTCTCTCTCTCTCTCTCTCTCTCTCTCTCTCTCTCTCTCTCTCTCTCTCTCTCTCTCTCTCTCTCTCTCTCTCTCTCTCTCTCTCTCTCTCTCTCTCTCTCTCTCTCTCGTCGCGGGCTCGTGAGATCAGCCAGGGTGGCTCCCCCTTGGGGCTCCCAAATGATGCCCCTGGCAGCGTTTTGTGACCATGAGGCTCTCAAGAGATACATGTTGGGGGCGCCAAACGGCAATTCTAGCTGAGACGTCCCACCCAAATCGGCGCGAACGGGCTCGTGAGATCAGCCAGGGTGGCTCCCCCTTGGGGCTCCCAATGATGCCCCTGGCAGCGTTTTGTGACCATGAGGCTCTCAAGAGATACATGTTGGGGACGCCAAACGGCAATTCTAGCTGAGGCGTCCCACCAAAATCGGCGCGAACGGGCTCGTGAGATCAGCCAGGGTGGCTCCCCCTTGGGGCTCCCAAATGATGCCCCTGGCAGCGTTTTGTGACCATGAGGCTCTCAAGAGATACATGTTGGGGAGGCCAAACGGCAATTCTAGCTGAGACGTCCCACCAAAATCGGCGCGAACGGGCTCGTGAGATCAGCCAGGGTGGCTCCCCCTTGGGGCTCCCAAATGATGCCCCTGGCAGCGTTTTGCGACCATGAGGCTCTCAAGAGATACATGTTGGGGACGCCAAACGGCAATTCTAGCTGAGACGTCCCACCAAAATCGGCGCGAACGGGCTCGTGAGATCAGCCAGGGTGGCTCCCCCTTGGGGCTCCCAAATGATGCCCCTGGCAGCGTTTTGTGACCATGAGGCTCTCAAGAGATACATGTTGGGGACGCCAAACGGCAATTCTAGCTGAGACGTCCCACCAAAATCGGCGCGAACGGGCTCGTGAGATCAGCCAGGGTGGCTCCCCCTTGGGGCTCCCAAGTGATGCCCCTGGCAGCGTTTTGTGATCATGAGAGAGTGTGAGTGTGAGCTTAACTTATCTTATCTTATCTTGAAATCTCGTCATATCATATATTGTGCTATCTTATCTTATATTGTAGTATCTTATCTTGTCTTGTCTTATATGGTGATTATCATTGGGAGGAGGGAGGCGCGAGCGGGAGGAAGGAGGAAGGAGGAGCAGCGGGAGGCGTCAGAGTAATAACAAGAACCCCAATCCTTAGGATATGGGGAATAAACTTTTCTCCGCCGTCGTGGACGCCTGCTCCCCAGGCGGCTCAAAGCTTATACCCCCACGGTGCCACGCAGGGGCACAAACTTTCGGCCGCCCGAGGGGCAGGCGTCCACGACGGCGGGAAAAATGACTTTGTACCGTTCTTCGCCCCCCGACTCCTGAGCCGGGACCGTCTTGTCGTCCCAAGTCGTTCTTTGACGGTCCCGAGGCCTGGCAAGGACCCCCAGGGGCCGAAAATAACAATATTAGGTCGGACATGTCCCCCTACAGGAACAGTTTGGACGAAAAAGAAAGTACCCCCAACCCCCCCCCCCCCACAAAAAATATATATTAATATATATATATATATAATATAATGTTTTTTCAAGAAGAGAAGAAGAAGAAAAAAAAAAAAAAAAAAAAAAAAAACAAAAAAAAAAAAAAAAAAAAAAAAAAAAACGTCCCCAGGTTGTTGTTCTACTGTTTTTGAATATTCCTCCTGTAGAGGGACAGGCCCGACGTACTCACAACAGAATACATATATATATATACACACACAAAAGAAACACATGATGAAGATACACGTGC